CAACTTTCTTTTTTTTTCCCTTTTTTTTTTTTTTTTTTTTTTTTTGCCATCATAAAAACTGAATTGGTAACCAACCGTTTCGTCACACAGCAGCTCCCTCAGTTCTTCCTGCGTCTCCTCGTCCAGCTTCTCGCCCTCGGGGCTGCTGTCGATGAACGCTAATTCCTCTTCCGTGCTCTCTGTCGTATCCAGAATCTCGGTGTGAGATTCAGCCGGACTCTCCACCGGTGGAAACTGTGTCTGGACTATCTCTGTTCTCGTCTTCCAGGGCCGGAAGGGACTGGAGAGCAGCAGTTGGTTCAAAACCGGCTGCTGCTCGGGTGAACCGTAGAGCTGCTGGGAGATCACCGAGTCTATGGCCAAAGCTCTCTGTGCTAAGTGCTTTACCTCTTCTTCAATCATCAGCCACACCTCCTCAAAATGTTTTGCGTCGGTAATAGCAAAATGCCTACACGTGGAAACAAACGCAGTCAAAAAAACAACAAAAAACAGGTCTCTAGAGGCAGAGCGGCACTCGTTTGAAACGGGAAATCTGACTCACTTGACTTGGTTTTTAATGCGTTCGTGCTTCTGGGTGTAGTGTGAATAATCTGTCAAAGCAATGCTCTGCTTTGCAAATTTTTTCTGGTGGTCGATGTAGATGTTCTTCAGCTTTTCTATCTCTCTCGCCTCCCTGGAAACACAAACCAGTCGACGTATAGCAGCGGGTGCAACGTAGGTTTCGGCATGGGAGAGGAGCCGTGCTACCTGGTGATCCTGCCTTTGATACTTCTGAATGTGGTAAGAAGTATTTCTTCCTTTTCCATGTACAAGTGTCTTTTCATCTTCAGGGGTAAGTTGCTGTTCTGGACTTTTTTCTGTTCTCTCTCTTGGGCCTGCAAAGCAAAGAAGAGGACCGCTTAAGCCACAAGTCAAGTCGTAAAAACCTTCTCGCCTCTTACAGGTTAGCAAGGTTTTTCACCTTAAGTCCGTTGATTGCTATTAAATTATTTCCTGACGCTACCGGCGACCAGCTCCTACGGGCATTCAGTTTCAAGGGAAATGTCAATATTGTGATTTTTTTTAAGCACATATGTATTAATGATTGACAAATCTCATTGTTGCTCCTCTTTTTCAGTTTAAATTTTTTAAATTAAAATTCAAAAATACTTAATCCCAAAGTTAAATTAAAGGTTGCAACTCATATCATCCAAGAATCTTCAAAGTTGTTGTGGATATAGTGATGGCTGTCAGCAGGTAGGATCTCCTGTAGCAGCCAAACATCCACCGTCTCAACCCAAACAAATTATGAACAAAAGTCAACAAAAGCAACAAATCAGAACTAACATAACAGAGCTACTCCAACATGTTGCCACCACAAGTAGGAAAGTTCTGGAATGAGTGGAAAATATTGCAAATGGTGAAATAAGATAGCTCCGTGGTTATGGAAGTAAATGTATACCTTCAGATTGATTTTTGATAGATTTTGGAATAATAACAAATGCAACAAGCAAGACCCTTTGGCACTCTTCTATCTTCCCACATACCAGAATTCTCAAGCATCTCTCATAATCCAAGGCGTTGAAGACGTGATTGCTCTCTTGACCGATCTCGTGAACCTCTCTCTTGTATTCCTCCAATTTCTTTCTCCTCTCATCTAGCCTCTCGAGCTGCAATGGGAGTCATTCAGTGGTTCATTTAATGAAGGGAAATGAAAATGTTGGACTTTCGTGTACGTGTGTGCTTCATCTCAGAAGTGCAGTCATCCTGACCTCTTCGTCCCAAAGTTTCTTCAGTTCTCGATCCAGTTCTTCTTTGTCTTTTGTAAGCAGGATGCTTATTTCCTGCCGATGACGACTCTGCACAAACAATCACCCCAGCGATAGTTAGTGAAATTTACATTCTGGGGAGTTTACATCTAGACATTCGTCATGGGAATGAATACATTTTTGACTCGGACAACTTTTTTTTTTCTATGATTTTAAAAAACAAAACCCCTGTGCACAAGTTTGACTTTATTTTTGATTGTAATTTTAAACACATAGATGGTTTGACACATAAATATACTCCTTCTCTTTATTATTGTCCTTCGACAAAATGCACCTCAACGATGCTCTCTTTTCCAGCCACTAACAAGGTTTTGGAATAATTCTGGTCGTATTTCACCAGTCATACTGGCAAAAATATCTAAATTAGTTTAAACTGCTTCCATGGCATACATCCTGATTCAAAGCTAAGTGACAACATCTTAAACGGGCATTAATAAGGGGATTACGGCGGCCCTTCCACAAATTTGACAGTTAACATTAAGCTTCAAGAATGTCCTTCTCAAAGTCCTGTCTTCAGTTAACTTTTGCTTAGAAGCAGATCTATGATATGTAGATAAAGAGTAGTGAAATACCCAGCCGAAATGATCCCAGAAATTTGCTAATAGCTAAAACAAGAAAAAAAAACACAAGCCATGAATAATATTACATTCATGCTCAAATAAGAGTGTATATAAACATTTCTGTGGAATTGTAGAAAAAAAGAAACTTGGAAACCAAACCATTCGAAGCTGCGTCTCTGTCAGAACTGGGTCCCACCTCAATCTGGGCAAGCTCCTCCCGGTAGACTTTGGTCATAAGCTTAATTTGGTCCTCCATCCGTGCAATCATCACATTAACCTCCTCTGCATTCTTCCTCAAGGTGCTCGCATAGTTATCATCTTGGAGCTTGAGCGCCTGTTCACCACAAAATGATCGAGCTCATGAATTTGGAAAAAAAACTAAACAAAATAAAACATAAGAACTGAATGGAGTTACCTGCAGAAGCTCATTTATGATGGCTTTCTTATCATTTATAATAGTGGAATAAAGCTCCTGCTGCTTCTTTAATGCCTTCTGCAGGTCTTCAGAGACCCCCTTCTGATTTATAAAGTTCTCAAATTGTCTTCTCAGTATTTCATCAGATTTTTCCTGGCTTGAGATTAAATCATTTTCCAGCATCGCAGCTCTGATTGACAAAAAAAACCAACCACAATAATGGTTTGTGTGGTGATTTAACCTTGAGATACTAACTTTAACCTACCTGCTGAATAAATGTAAAATAGTTACCTCTTTGCTTGAGCTTTGCCCCGCAGTGTCCTCTGCAACACCATTTTGGCGTCGCATGCAATTTGGGTGTTTGTCACTATCGTACTCAGATCTTTCTGCAGAAGTTTTATCCTCTAAAAACAACAATGTTAGTTTTACAGTAAGGCATGAGATATTGTCTCTCAAAAATTCAACCAAAACAAAGTGAAAGACAATAAAGCAGAGTAAGTTTAGACAATAAACATGTAACAGTGTATTTCTTTACAGCTACTGCTGATTATTTGTATGAAATCAACACAGTGAAAGAACTGCCAAAAAGAAACGTGCAAATCAAATATCTGACAGCAGCAATAATGTCACTGTAAGATAATTTTCAGATATACTAAGTAAAATATTTAAAATTTCTTCTTAGAAGACTTAAAATAGATATTTTCAAAGCAGCTCACTGAGTGACCACTGCAACAGGGCAAATTACTGTATTTGCCCTGTTGCAGTGGTCACTTGATGGAGACAGATAGTGTTGGAATGTTCATCTCCATAAGGTAATGAGGCTGAAAACTGATCAGTGAGCAACAGCACTTTATGCCTTTTTTCAAAACACTTTTTTTTTAGCACTAGTGACCTTTATTTGCTGAATGTTGCAATGTTGTTGCCAAATAGTGAGATCCTGCTGTCAAATAGAGTGATGCTGTTGCCAAATAGTGAGGTCCTGTTGCCAAATAGTGAGACACTATTGCCAAATAGTGAACTTCTGTTGCCAAGTAGTGAGATACCATTGCCAAGTGAGATACTGCTGCAGAATAAAACATTATGTGACCATAGCTCCAAGCAGTATAAAGTGAAAAAAAAAAAAAAAAAATCATACAGAAAACAAATGGGTTAAAAATGTAGACCTGTTCACTTTCTCTCTCCTGCTCCTCTTTTGATTTACTTTCCTCTTTACCCTCCATCTTGAAGATTTGCCTGTAAGAAAAAATATTTTTGAAAAATTTCACCGTTCGACCGAACATTAACAATTTCGGGATCAAAGGAAACAACTTCAGTTTTATATATTCAGTTTACCTGCTCGCTGCTTTTCCGCCGAACTACACAGGGAGCTCTTGTACCTCTTTAAGGTTTAAAATAATTTCCTCCTTATTCACAACACGTCAAGTGAAATCTACTGGAAAAAAATGTAAGCAGTTCTAATAGAAACGAACAGCTCGTTTGTTTGCAAACTGTTTCTATGGCGACAGAGGTATCGGACTGCGTCAAGTGCTGCATTTAAAGGTCCCCGTAAATGTGCAAGAATGTTGATATCACAAGTCCCATCCCTTTCTGTTATAGCAGGCAGGTCCTTCTCTGATATATTCAGGATTGCTGCTTTTGTGTGAACTCCGACACCTGAATTAGTATGTGGAAATGATTTCGCAGACTAATTCACTATCTTCTACCTGTTTTCAAACCTGTTCCGACTTCTGCGGCATTTTTTTTATGTTTTGAGACGTGGGAAATGGGAATCCCTTCTTCAGCAATTCAAAAGTACCATTGTTTATTTTTATTTATTTTATCATTTACAGTCAGGGTCTGTCTGTTTCCCCCTTAAATAACTAAGACAACGAAGTACAACTCAAAAGACATTTAAACTTTTGAAAACGTGAAAAATAAAAAATTGTTGTTATAATTTTGAGTTTTAAAGGAATATTTTTCACTGCAAAAGAAATGTGGTCGACGTAAAGATTCATAATTATTAGTTTTATAAGTGTACTTTTGAGACGTACTTGACTTTCTAAATCACAATATTCAGATTAAAAGAAGTATTGGTTGTTCTTCTGCAAAATCTGGTGTTATTGTTACGGCCCAAGGCCTTTTCCTTTGGGTCTCTAAGGGTGCGTTCACACTGCAGCCTGAAGTGACTCAATTCCGATTTTTTTGATGTAATGCGACCTGTATCCGATCTTTTCATGGCAGTGTGAACAGCACAGGTCGGATTCTTTTTCGAATGTGACCCATATCCGATACGTATCCGATTCAAATACGACCTAATGTCCAGGTCGCATTCATCCGAACTGAACGTCACTGATTCTCCACAAATCTCCCTATTCTGCGTCCTGATCCGCGCAAGCAGGAAGAAAAACAACAACCATGGCGGAATATATGAGGATTAAGTTGTTAATATGCTGCTCCGGCCGGACAACAACTTCAAATATGTAAGCTAAGCTCCACCGTTAGCATCCATGTTTACTTCCGCAAACACCGAGCACTTCTTCTTTTCATGGCGGTTGGCAGAACACTGAGAACGCTGACGCTATGGCGCCCTCTACTGCGCATGCGGGACACTTTCAGGTCGTTTGCCCGTTTACACTGCAGAACGCATACAAGTCGCATTTACTGGCAGTGTGAACGGCCCCGGCAAAAAAATCGGAATTGCCAAAAAATCGGAATTGAGTCACTTCAGGCTGCGGTGTGAACGCAGCCTAACATCCATGTTTTGGACTCCTTAATTGGTGCTGATTGGAAGTGGAGGCAGCTGGCCAGTGTCTCCAGATGACATCAGATCCACCTTAAGATGCACCACTTTCTCTGACTAAGCAGCTCATTCTTTCTGTCTCCCTGCCACTCTCTCCCTTTTCTCCCTTTCTTCCCCAATTAGTTATGATTTTTATTAAATAAATACCCTTTGAAGTTATCCCATGCATTGCTTCCCTTTTATTTGTTATGGTTTAAGAGCCAGACCGTAACAAAATATATTCTTTTTGTGTTACTGACTTAACTTTATACATGCACCACAACAGGAACAACAACAATAATAACACTAATAATGTTAATACTTCTGTATGTAAAATATTACAACTTATTGTTTTATTTTTTTTTTCTAAATATAAACATATTTGTACATGTAAAGAAATGTAAAAATCAATTTCTATTTTCTATTGTTGTGTTGATCTATCACACGAAATCTAAACAAAATACATTGCACTTTTTAACATGACAAAGTGTGAAGTTCAAGGGATATCAATACTTTTTCAAAAGCTCTGCATCCTAGTCATTCTTTGTCTATGCATACTAATGGATTATGACCATCCTGGGACACTTTTACAACAAATACACTTGCTGAAGTGCATTTATTGGACTTCAGATGTCCAACAAATGCACATTAGTTGGACATTTATCAAAAGCATGTTTGTTTGTTTTTTATTTTAGTATTTTTGTTGATTTCATTTCTTGGACTTGACACGCTCAGGCTTACAGCTGGTTCATTTTGTTCCTGGCTTCATGTGGGTTGAGATGGAGCTTCCTGTTTAGACAAAACGGTTTTCCATCATCCAAAGATCACAGGAGAGCTACTGTAAATGTGCTACAGTAGAGAAATCCAATCCATCTTTTAATCCAACATCATATCTCATAGCATCATATCTCATATTTCCTACCCATATTCTTACTTTGGGGATCTTCAACATTCCTCTTTGTCGTAGTTTCTCGAGACTTTTGTGAAGAGTAACGTTTTCCTGTTCCAGAATTTTGATGCGAATGTTATTTGATTGCTGTTGTTGTTCCATATCCAAAATCAGGTTTCCTGTACCTTGAAAATCATAAACAAAATCATCATATAATTCAACATTGCAATTCGCCACTGCAGAAATGACAAGAGTTACATATTAAATGTTAAATTCAAGTCCAGAAAGACAGCAAATCATAGCCGTGAGTTATTAAGTTGTGACCATTACTTTCTTTTCCTCCTCCTATGTCACCAGAAAGGCTCTGTAAAAAATAGGTTAAGTTGCTTTTTATATACAGTAAATACAGGATATAACAGGGCACCCATTTCTAACACTACTGATTTTGATATAAGCAATTAATTCTTAATATGTTGTTTAATGATTAAATGCACTCAAATTACAGGTCGGATTATGTATGCTACTTCAATAAAAGATGCCTTTTGTACCACAAAATATATTGTGTGGAGGACTTTAAATGCAGGTGGGAATTTCCTACTTTGTGGTTGAGTGTGAGCCCAGTTGTTGAGCTCTGGGAAAGCCACCAAGAGTCTCTCTCTCTCCCTCAATGCCTTCACGTGCTCCATCAGTTCGGCTACACGCTTTTCTAGCTCTTCTACACGCGTCTGTAGCGTTTGCTTCTCTTTTTGGAGCTCTTTACAGATGTCCTGGTGGAAGAAAGCAACTATGTAAGCATTTAGCATCAGTTTCTGAATTACAGAAATGAAAAGGCTCTTATCTACCTGCTGCTGAGAGAGCTCAGCCTGCTCCTGCTCCTTCAAATCGGTTATCTTTTTCAGCTGATTTTTTAAGTTGGTCTGTGCCTCTTCTTTTACTTCCAGCTGCCTCTGTAGCTCTTCACGCTCTACATCAAGAGCATCGACTCTCTTTAATAAGGAATTCTGCTTGGCCTGCATTGACTAGATTGACAGCCATACAGCATTTAGCCCATAGGTATTGAAATCTGTTGATTTGAGTGATAAACAGCTGTGTTTTATCTGCAAAGCTGACCTCCTGTTGATGGAAAGCGCTCTGGTACTTGGCCTTCTCCTTGTCAAGAAGAAGTCGCGTGGCACTGAGCTGAGTCTTGAGCTTCTGGATCATTTGTTGCAGTTCACAGCAGGTCTTCTCCTCTTTTTGTAGTGTTTCCACTTTCTGTTGAAGTCCCAGTTTTTCACCCACTATTAGGAAATGGATGATAAATGATTCATTATGCAGCAAAATAAAAAATAAAAATAAAAAAAAATTAAGCTGAATGAAAAGAAATTTAGCATCTCATTCTTTACCGAGTGTTTCCAACGTTTCTTGCTGGAGTTGTACTTTCTCCTTGAGTCTTGTATTGCTCTCCTCCAATGACAAAATTTCTATTAGAAATACATCAAAGAAAAATGTTTATACAGTCACATTTTTTCCACATTGAAACCACAATATATATTTTCTCAGATTTCAGAAACCAAACACAAGTGGTCATAAATGTGGAGTAGAAATGACACATAGTTTTCTGGTCCTCAGCTGAATTTAGGTCAGGACTTTGACTGGTCATTCTGACCACTGAATATGCTTATCCACTGTAGCTCTGGTTGTATATTTGTTATCCTGCTGTAAAGTAAACCTTCTCCCCAGTCACGCGTCTTTCTCTGCCTCCATCTAGTTCTCTGTACACTTCCCTTTGTAATTAGCTCCACCCATCTTTATATCCTCTCTGACCAGCATAACTGTACTCACTGAAAAAAACCCAACCCCACAGCATGATGTTACCACCACCATGTCTTATGATGGGAATGATGAGTTTAGGTTGTTACTTTTCAACAGTGGCTTCCTTTTTGCCAGTCTTTCAGTGGAGTCAGATTTCACACAGCAGCTGGATTCACACTGAGATTAAATTACACTCAAGTTGTCTCAATTTAATTATCATGTGATGGGCTTGTGATGGACCTGCACCCTGTCCAGGGCGTGGCCTTCTTCTTGTCCATCAATGGTTGGTGATAGGCTTCTTGCAAGCACTAACAGGGCATAGGTAACAACTGATGAATAGGATCAGGGCTGAATGTGTGAAATAAAATTTTCTGACTTTTATTTGTCAAAAAATTTAGGAAACCCTGTATCATTTTCCACCACTTCAAAGTGTGTCGCACATTGTTGGTTTATTGCACAAAAATCTCAGTGAAAAACATTTAGGTTTGTGTTTGTAACATGATTAATGTAAAAAAAAAAAAAAAAAAGGGAGGAGGGATTAAACAGATTTAAATGAAGTCACTGTATAAATAATATGTTTACTACCTCTTTTAGATTGTTTTCGCTCTTCTTGTAGTCTTTGCTGTGTTTCTTGTGAGGTCCTCTCTGCTGTCTGTAGGGAAGACTCCAGCTGGGCCATGCGGACCTGGTGTTTCTCTACCTCTTGCTGGAACTCCTTCTTCGCACTTGCCAGCTGAGAACCGGACCGGTTTCGATCTGTTTCAGCTTTTGCAAGTGCTTCTCGAAGAGGCTGGACGGTACTCCGCACATCCTGAAGATGCTTTGCGAGGCAACGCATGTCCCTGAGTTGCTCTTGGGCCCACTGGGTGACGTCACCCACCGTCATCTGTCCCGGACCCACCGTGTCTTTCATGGCGCCTGAGAGACGCTTAAGAGATGAGGGAAGACCCTCACTCTGGAAAAGGTCTATCAATGCATCTCCTGTGCTTCTCAGAAGGGACTGGACTCTATGACATGCATCACAGGGAATGAGGGATGACTCTGTCATCTGACAGGCAGTGTTGTGGTGTTTGGCTTTAGAATAGAATGGGGCATTGTGAACTGGACCTGAACGTTCGCTTTTCTGGGGTGAGGTCGGTGAAAACAGAGCAGATGAACAATTTCTGCATAAATGAGGGCCTGGGCTAGTTGGGGAAGATACATATGACTCTGTCTTTGAGTAATCTAACGTCTTTGTTTTTGTCTGTTTTATGTCTTTGGAGTTCTCCTACAAAACAAAACAAACAAACATTAAAATGTACTGAAATATTTATG